CTGATCAAGGGTCACTAGGAATTTCTACTTCTATATTAGGGATTTTTGTAAGTTTGAGGTTGCTGTTATTTTAAACAACGAATATAGGTAATATTTATAAACAGAAAAGTTTTAGAAAAAATAAAAATTCCCCAGAGATTCCACCTCTAGGACCTTCCCTGAATGGACTCAGAAGTCAGTCTGTCTCTATACTCAAATTCATGTGTGAAAACCTTCTGTTTGAGGATGCCACTGTCCATGCCTGACCTACCAGCATCCCTAGGCTGAGGCTGCTCAGGGCAGCCCAGTCTCAGTGCTGTGGTCTTTCCATACAATGCTGACCCACAATCCTGGCCCACTCCCACCCTACCACATCATCTGGACTATGGAAGTTGCCTCCTCATTTGTCTTCCTACTCCTTCTACCCTCCACGGTCTATTCTCCACACATAATCAGAGAGGGCCTGTGAACCCTTCAGTCAGACCAGGGCTCTCCTAACTCAGAGTCTTCCCTTGGCTCCCACTCCCCTCTGCCATAGGAGTGGACACTCTTCAGTCTCTTGTACCCACTTATACCTCCCATCTCAGAGTATCTGCACATGCTGTACCCTTCTTCTGGGGCACTCTTTTTCCTTCTTCAGTTAACTCTTCCTATTCAGATCTCTGCTAAGGCAGCACCCCCTCTGAGAAGTCCTCATTAATGGGTCATGTCCCTTGGTATAGGATTTCCAGCTCTTTGTTCTCCTTCTGCGTGGTCTTCACCTCACTTTTGTTCTTGTGAATATTTAGCTAAAATCTATCTCAGATTGGACAGAGCTAAACAGAAACCTTCTCAGACTTGGTTCATAGCTATACCCCTGGTGTAACACAGATGCTCAATGAACAGTTACTAAATAAAATGAAAGATACTAAAAAATTTTTTAAAAAAAGAGACCATTCTCTGGGCACACTGACTAGAATTCTAGAGTCATGTAGACTGAAGTAAAATATGTAGCTGCAGTTCACCTTTAGGACAGTATATTCCATCTTAAAACTAAGTTGTTCTTTGTTTTTATTTTTTAATATATTTTTATTGATTTTAGAGAGGAAGGGAGGAGGAGAAAGTGATAGAAACATCAATGATGAGAGAGAATCATTGATTAGTTGCTTCCTGCACGCCCCCCAATGGGGATCAATCCCACAACCTGGGCATGTGCCCTGACCCAGAATTGAACCATGACCTCCCGATTCATAGGTCAATGCTCAACCACTGAGCTACACTGGCTGGGCAAAGCTAAGTTTTCTCTTCTGCAAAATAAGGTTAATTATACCATCTTCCAAGTCTTATTTTATGGACTCAACTCTCATCCAACAATGATTCACTGAGCATCCTCTCTGTGCCATGCATTGTTCCAGGTGCTAAGGAAAAATGCACAGTATGTCACAGGATGATAAGAGCCATGGACAAAAATCAAATAAAGGAATAAAGGAGGTTTAAATTTTACACTGACGCCAATGAAGGCCTCACACTCAAAAGTTGACATTTAAGTACAGACTGGAAGGAAAGAGTAAGCCATGTGAGCATAGAAAAAGAGCCATCAAGCTCAGGTTACATTCAATGTATAGCACCTTTGAAGGTAACCTCACCTGGGATGCTGAGATGCCTGAGGAATACGGCAGAGGGTCGGGGGTGCGTGTGAGGACAGAGAAGATGATATCAGCTGATGCATGCAGAGGTCCTTTGTGTTCCAGCTTCTCCCAACACATCTCATCGCTCAACCTGACCCACCTCACACTATAGGCCTGTGTATACTCTGCTTCCTCCAGCTGGCATCCCTTCCCACCTCTTCTCTTACGTCGTCCTTTTCTTATCCTTCAAGTCTCAGCTTAGGCATCTCTTCCTTCAGAAAGCCCCTTCTGATAATCCCAGATGGAGTCAAGCACCTCTTCTGGGTGTCCCCAGTCCCCTGGGCTTACCCCAGCCCAAACCACTCTGGCTGTCACCGGTGATGGGTCTGTCTCTCTCCATACTGGACTACAGGCTTCATGGGGGCCTATCTTGGTAATCACACAGGACAAAGTATGGCAAGCATTTGTTAAATAAATAAATGAATGGAGCCCAGCCAGGGTGGCTCAGTGATTAGCCAACGACCCATCTGGTTCCCAGGGCACAGGCCTGCTTGCAGGAGGCAACCCATCGATGTTTCTCTCTCATTAATGTTTCTGTCTTTCTATTCCTCCCCCTCCCACTCTCTCTAAAATCAATACAAACATTAAAAATAAATAAATGAATGGAGAGGAGGGATCCCAGGTAGGGAGGTCTCACATGGATGCGGCAGCCGTCATCTACGGGGTAGGAGCCCAGTAGCGCATCCTCCTGATCCAGCTTGCTGCAGAACTTCTCGTCAGCTCCATAAAGTTCCAGTTCCATGCAAGACGCAGGGCTGCCCACCACCAGCTCTAGTTTACACTGCGAGGAGTAGGGGATGTGAGAGGTTGGAGAGGAGGAAGGCTGTCAGTGGCTCCACCCCCTACCCAGACTCCCCGCCCCTTGTATCAATAACCGTCACCCCCTCCTTACTCCTCCAAGAGACCCATCATTTTAGGACCCAAGTGGTTATCCCTGGCCCTGCCCCCTCTGCTCTTGTGCCCGCCTCTGAAACCTCTGATTTTCCCAGGCCCTGCCCCCTTCTCTGGCACCTCCGGTTCCTTCTGGCCTCGCCCCGCTGAGGCCCGGTCCCCAATCCTTGCAACCTCGGTTTATTTCTGGCCCCTCCCTGCGATGGGGAAGCCCATCCATTTCTTACTTGCCCATCCCCTCCGGACCCCGCCCCTTGGCCACACCTTGAATTCTGCTATCGTGAGGCTGCGACTGTACCGCTTCTCGGAGCGAAAGCTGTTGAGAGAGCTGCTGATGAAAACGGTCACAGTGGGCGCCGATAACCCCGTCACCTCCATCTTGCGCTCTGGGGGTGGGGGTGTGTGTGGGGAGGGGGGAGTCTGTAGCTCCGTCAGGCACCTCACGCCGGCTCCGCCGCGGCCACTACGGGGATATCCACCTCTCCCTGCTCCCGACCTGGCCAATCGGCGCGCTCCTGCAGGAAGGTCCGCCAATCGCCGCTGTCTCCTCAGCTCCGGAAGCGCTCCCGTTTTCCTAGGTAAGTCCAGCCAATCCTGAGAGGCCGGACTGGGTGCAGTTCTTCCAATAGCAGCCCGGGAAACGGCCGGGCGGCGAAGGTGAAGCCGGGAGAAAAGACTGGCAGGCGTTCCCCCGCCCGGAGGGTAGCGCGCACATGCGCACTGGCCTTCGGCTCCCCAAGAGTAATGACTTCTAGAAGTGCTTTTCGCGTTACGTGACGCGTCGTATTCCCGGCTCTCGTCCCATACTATTCTATAAACTGGGGAAGCGAGGCCCACAGGTCGGAAGCAATTACTTTAGGATATCAAAAGATAAAAGCAAGTAATTAATCAAATCTAAACGCAGAGAGCCGAGCACAAAACCGCTAGCATCCAGTGCTTGTGTGCAGCTCCGCCCCTCTCTAGGCGAAGCCAATAAGCCTGACCCTTCCCGCGACCGGTCGCGAGGCGGAGCGAGCGAGCGCGGGAGGCTTGGCGGGTAGTGCTGCGCTATGGAACCGGACGGGACCTACGAGCCGGGTTTCGTGGGTATTCGATTCTGCCAGGAATGGTGAGACGGGGCAACAGGTGTGGAAGGGGAGCAAGTAATGGCCCCAGACTGACCTCTGGCCTCCCGTCCCCACAGTAACAACATGCTTTACCCCAAGGAGGACAAGGAGAACCGTATTTTGCTCTACGCGGTGAGCACGAGTCCGCGGGTGCCCCGGTCTTCCCACGGGTCCACCCGTCCCCATCGTGGCCCCGCCCTGCTCCACATGGCCGCTACTCCCTGTTCCGCCCGACTGTCCTGGTTTCTTTTCTCTGTGGATTTTCAGT